CCTAGACCTGTTTTCTACCTCAGTGAGAGTTGGGTCCTTGTTAGCAGCAGTTGTGTGCATTTTTTTTTAAGGTGGACTGTTGTATAAGGGAATGTATAATATGGAATAAGTGTTTAGCTGCACCTCTCTCAAACAACCTGCTGGTAAAACCCTTCCATATCGTGTCATTCTGTCCTCTTCCACTGGTGCAACAGTTGGGGTGTATGCAGTGCTATTTTCCTAGAAAATGAGGTTGCCAGAACTCACCATGAATGTCTCCCTTGTTCTCTTAGAATGGCAACGGTGCACACCTGAGAGGTGCCAGAACTGAGTTCCAACTGGGGGAAAAAATCCATTGGGTTTTATCTGCTAAGGGGTCAAGTTTATCTGAGGAAAGTTTAGTTGCTGACCCCTGTTCTGAACTAAGAAATGAGGAGTCATTTGTTTTGTTTATTTTGCCGCAGAGGCACAACTTGAGATAAGCTGTTTTTTAAAAATGATCAGACTTTGTTTCTATCCTAGTCTCCATTCCTCATGACGGTTTACTCCTAGAAAGCAACAGATCCCATCTTTGGTGCCAAAGCTCCCATTAAGTCGAATAGGGCACCCATGTTAAAGTGGAGTTCTTTCGTTTTCCTTGCCCACTAAACAAATATAACACCTATGTTGGCTAGAATATGCTTTATGCAGAATGGACAACAGTTCATACAAAAGAGGAGGACAGTGGCTCAAAGGCACTTTCAGCGATGCTTGAAACACAGTGCCAAACTTGCTTGTGATGGATGGATGTACATTTCATTTTTTAAAAGGCTCTTTCCTGCCTCTTCAACCCACATCAGTAATATTCATACATGTACACAAAGAGTGTCCCCGATGGTCAAAAGGTACTTTTAGCCTAACTGAAAAGGCTTGGGGCATTTCCACACCTGATACTGTAGAGCTTTTTCTTCTTCTTCCTCTTTTCCACATTCTGTAATGTACACCCACAATAGATTGTCTAGTTATTTGAGAACAGATGTGTCCCACACTACCGACAAGCAGCCATCAGCTGCATTTGTATGAAAGTTGCTTAAACAAGCTTCTTAGTGTCGTATGTGAAAAGGCCTTTTCAAAAAGTTACCGTCAAGCTATTACACCAGCAAAAGATCAAGAATTTCTGGAAGTTGCTACTGCAAGCTATGGGGCAGTATTCAATTAAATAGTTGTGCTTCTGCAAAGATAGCGCCAGCACTGTAGGATTTTCCCTTCCTCTCCTTTCCTTGCACATGCCCTGCACTATCCCCAAATCTGCTGCAGAGGTTTGGGGGAACCCCCCAAAAAGATTTAGGGGCACCCAGTGGGGAGGAGAGGTGGAGAACATTCTGTTGTGCGGGAGAGATCCTTGTGCTGATGGAACATTTTGCTTAGCACTATGCTGAATACAACCTCATGGTGCTCGCCTCTGGCTTGATGGCTTAGAAATAAATTAGACAGATTTACAGAAGATGGTATCTCAAAGATTGTTAATCATAATAGTTTAATGAAGAGATACTCTACCTCAGGACACTAGATGCTGGAATGAAATGAAGAAGGAGAAGCCATCATCTACAGTCTCTGCTTCTGTGTTTCCAGAGGCATCTGTCTAGCTGGCTTCCCTGAATTAAATGGACCCTAGTCTCATCTAGGTCATCTAGGACGCGGGTGGCACTGTGGGTTAAACCACAGAGCCTAGGACTTGCCGATCAGAAGGTCGGCGGTTCGAATCCCTTTGATGGGGTGAGCTCCCATCGCTCAGTCCCTGCTCCTGCCAACCTAGCAGTTCGAAAGCACGTCAAAGTGCAAGTAGATAAACAGGGACCGCTCCGGCGGGAAGATAAACGGCGTTTCCGTGTGCTGCTCTGGTTCGCCAGAAGCGGCTTAGTCATGCTGGCCACATGACCCGGAAGCTGTCTGCAGACAAACGTCGGCTCCCTTGGCCTATAGAGCGAGATGAGCGTGCAACCCCAGAGTCGGTCACGACTGGACCTAATGGTCAGGGGTCCCTCTACTTTTACCTTTAGTCTCATCTAGCAGGTTCTGATGCCTTTTCAATCATCCTAATAATCATTTTCATTATCATTATTATTTATATGCTCTCCATCTGACTGGGTTTCCCCAGCCACTCTGGACAGCTCCCAACAAAATATTAAAAACACAGTCAAACATCATCCATTAAAAACTTCCCTGAACGGGGCTGCCTTCAGATGTCTTCTAACACCAATCCTTTGAATTGTGCTCAGAAATGTACTGGGAGCCTCTAGACCTTTCTTGTTTTCTGATTCCAACTCGTATTTAAACAAGCTGATCAGAATTAAATACGACACTTCTCCTTCCGCCTCCTTTCAACATGCCCGCTACTCAAACCGTACCATTGTGTTATTCCATTAGGCAGGCAATATTTCATATTTTTCATTTCTGAGAAGGGAGAAGACGTACTGACTGAAGCATTCAAGGGTCCTCCTCAAGTTTTTCCTCTCTTTTTATGTAGGGGATTAAACCTCAGGTCTTAGTCACATCATACCTGGGGCTCTTTGCAGAGAGGTAGGGATCAGCCTATGATCCGGCAAGATTACATATTAAGGAGGAATTCTTGGGTGTTTCTTTTCAGATCCATGCCCGCTGAACTTTTATTCCAGGCATCACACTTTCTGACTGGATAGACAGCCTGAGGTTTGATTGGTTTTTTAAAGTCTGGACTGGGCATTAACAGGACTCCAATTACCAGCTGGCAACTTTTATCGCATACCAGTGCCATTGATTTTCATATTAATATGCCCTATTTTCCCACCAGCCCGCCTGTTAATGGAAGCCTACCAACACATCCTCCCCCTGCCCAAATTAGGAGTGATTTCAAAGAGACACACAGAAATGGCTTAGGTACTAATTGCATCCCCTAACATTACAGTGATGATTATGAGTAACCCTATTAGTGACCAGCTGCACTAAAATCAATCCCAAGCGAAGGTCTGCCTTCTTTTGCTTTGCTTACGGAGCCGACGGGCCTGGATTTCTTGATTATCAAAGAAAGGACATGCAAAAAGTGCAAACTATTTCTGGAAGGGTGTTGCTAGGACACTTGCAGCAATTTGCAGAGTTCAAAAAGCAATCATTCTGCACTCCCTCCCGGCTTCTCCTTCACGATTCTTTCATTTACTGCCAAACATTTTTAAAACAAGCACATTAAATCTTAAGGCAGAATTGTAGGCTATAGCTAATTAAGACAAAGCTCAGGATATTAACCGGGGGGTACTCTCTCTCAATAAGAAAAGGATTATGTTAGTATAAGAAATTATGTTAGTATAGGGGCATTTGTAGAAGATATCATCTCCCTGAAAAAAAGTGTCCAGATGTGTGAATATTGCAGTGGAGTCAAATCTTTGGCCTTGTTCCTTTGACAAGTTATTGACTCTTCCGATTATTTGTTTGGCAGTTCCTAAGACATACCAAAGATGGATGAATAGGTTTTGATACAACACTTAACTGAAACTGTTATTATCTTTCAAGATTCAGGAGAATGTTATGGAAAAAGTAGAATGGAAATATTAGAAAAGGGTGACTTAGTTCACAGCTTTCCAGATTAAAAAAAAATCACAATTGATTTGTTAACTTGAATTCAAAATATCACATCAATAGAGATTCTAGATCCATGCTCATAAGCATGATCAAGGCTTTTGTTTCGTTTAGTAAGGTTCACAGGATAGATATCTCTAAAATATAATGATCTGGCTCTAAAAGAGACATTGAGATTTTGGAAATTTTAAAAAATATGTCCATGGGATGGTTCTTTATAAGCAAAGAGGCCTTCTTCTTTTTTGGGGGGTGGGGAATACAAATCTGTTAACTCCTGAATATCAGACGGTTTTCTTTCATTTTTCATAATTATTATTTATGTATCATACGGAATGCATGACATATATAATAAGCAGTGGTGTACATACCTCTGGTACCTTGAATAAGACTGAGAAGAAAGAACAGATTCAAAGAAGCATTTTCAAGGACTCAAGCTGAGAACAGAGAAACATGGTGCATTCAAAGTTAAATCACTGGCCTAGGTTGTGCATGGCTAGAAGGCATGCTTGGATTGTATGAATTGCATCAAAAATGCATTCAAGATATTGCATCAAGATTACTTAGTAAGAAGACTAGGGATGCCTGCGTAAGAGAAAGAAAAGAAACAGCTCACCATCTAAAAAGTGCCAACAAGGCATAAACCCTCAGGCCACCCTGTTCTCTACAGCATTGCTCTGAATGTTTTGGAGGCTGTAAGTGTTTGATTGTTTCCAGATTCTTGTTGAAGAATTTACAATCAATCCATCTATACAATACACTCAAGTTTAATACATTGAGCCGTTGGCTATTCGTTCTACTCAAGATTACTTCTGGCTAATGGAGGTCAAGAGGCTATTTAACACTTTATTCTGTTATAGTGGCATTCATGATTTAGAGCAGGCATAGGCAAACTCAGCCCTCCAGATGTTTTGGGACTACAAGTCCCATCATCCCTGACCACTGGTCCTGTTAGCTAGGGATGGGAGTTGTAGTCCCAAAACCTCTGAGTTTGCCTATGACTGATTTAGAGTTTGCTTTGTCTCAGGTCATGGGATCATTAGAGCTGTCTACATGTTATTTTTTATCACATGAAACTCATTTGAAATGTTCTCACACACTGCTCTAATGTATGTAACTACTAACCAGTTAGTTCTTCCACACCATGTGGAAAGTTTCTATACCAGAGCTGCACTTTTCTGGTTGTAGTTCTGTGTGACAACTGTAAATCATATTCATTGGGAGTGCCAGGTTGGTTCACATAGCCATTTCTTTGTGATAAGTTGCATTTATTCAATCTTTTCAAATCATCAAAATTAAAATTAAGCATTTGAATTTTCAACATTTGCTTTGGAAGTTCAGTTTTAAAAGACACAGTTAAAAGCTAGAACATCAAGATGTTGTGATTTCTAAACAAGATTCTGAAATATCAACTTGCTGGTTTCAATATATTTATGCCTTCTTCTAAATCCAACAATAGCCATAGTTCAAAAGATTAAAAAAGAAATAAGTTAGAATACAGATTTAAATTTCTTGGGCAAGCAATTGAAGCTAAGATTTTCCCCCTTGAGAATTCTCTCAACTCTTCTACAGTTTCATCTGTAATCATATGCTTTCATTTCTAAGAGGTTTTGAAGCGGCAAACTGGTCCTGTTCTTGTCTATGAGGACATACAAAAATGACTATAGCCCTATTCAGCAGTTATCCTCCAATCATTCCAAGAAACCCTGTTCCAGCCAGCTTCACCTCCAGACCACTGGACAGAAGGTCTGAATTAAGAATCTATGCACATCTTGTGGAAGATGTCTTGGAGATGTCCTCCATGGGGCTGGGAGTGCTGCCTTTCAGCTTGGGTGCTTAGCTAAAGGTGCATAGCTTCTCCACTTGGGGTGTGTGTGTGTGTAAAGATCTGGGGGGTGAAGCCAGTGATGGAATGGGGCATTGGGGATGGAGTACTTGCATATGGCCTTGCTCGCTCCTCCACACACAGGGCTTATTTGAATCTCCAGCAGAGAATTCAGCAGAGAATTTTCTTTACTGTATCCTAAAGAAAATGCTTTGTAGCACCCTTGATGGTTTGGAGGGACATATGCTCAGGCACTTCTGGATCAGCATAAGCAAATCCCATGGGCTTGCTGTGGATATAATCTTGGTCTGGCACCGGCATCTGGAATAGTGGGGCTTCAGGCCTACTTGGCCTACCTGTATTGACGCAGTGTTGCTGGCCAGCACGTGAGCACAGATTGGCAGCTCTGTTTGGTGTTACCATGCAGTTCAGTTCAGTGGCAGAGGTGGCTGCATAGGAGCCAGTGCAGTGGCTGGATCTCCTTTTCAGATTCCCCGAAACCCGGAGTCAGGACAGGACTGATCTGATATTATCACAATGATCTTCCATAAATCTGGAAGTCATGGCTCCTGGGGCTGCCATTGGCTTGGCTGTTCTGATGTTTCCTGGGTAGGCAGAAGCTGCGTGATGAGGACGGAGAAGAAGAAGACTGGATATGAGTTCTAAGTTTTGGGAACGACGTCTGGTTCATGAAACTTGATGACAATGATCTGTGGTCCTGGACCCTTCAAACGACCTTCTGTGGCCACAGCCTGAGTGTTTGGGAGCCTTTCAATGAAAGCAGATGGATGACACCTGTTATTTAGGTATATGGCATGAATGAAAGGAGGGCTGAAATTCTGATATGTGTATGTATATGAAGAGTTGGAGAGAGAGGGAGAGAGAGAGGGAGAGAGAGTCATTTTGCAAGCAATCTCCTGCCTTTTCATTTACATGACACACATTAACCGCAACACAGGAGTTCCAAGAGAATTGTCTTGTTCCCTTGTCTCCAGGAACCCATGTAGGGCTCTTTAATTGCCACATTTTCAAACCGATATAATGGTAGGGATGTCTTGGTAATTACCTTAATGAGATAACACCTTTCCTTCCCTCAACCTACTCATTATCGCGCTTCTTGTTCAGATTCCAGCTACAAAGAGCTATACTTGTAAGGGGGAGAAAAAGAGAAGACGACGATTTGGAGGGTGGTGGTGGTGGGGGGGAAGAGTTTGAAACTTGGTTTTGGCCTCCCCCCTCTTAATCTAATTGCATATATCTTTCCAATGTGAAGTGAGGAAGGGGAAAGGGACACCCACCCCCATCGAATCAAAGAAATGTTTGAAAGGAGTAAACCTAAACATCTGGGCACCCTTAATTATTCGTGGTTGGCTTCCTTAGTCTGACCTGTAGTGATGCTAAGGTGCCAAAGTGATGAATTTTAAGATGTTGGGCTGTGAAGACGCGCAGCTGCAACACTGATGGATTTACGAAGGGATGGTAACAAGGTTAGCGGCATGTGAAGTGTGAATTAAGATTTTTGCAAAGAGACTGTGATTGCAGATGGGCGTAATGTTGTACCCTTCCATGAAATCTTGCTATTACCGGAGAATGGTCAGACAGGGTGTGAAATGACTTATTACTTTACTTTTGTTCTTTAATGAAGTTGGCTGCTGTTGAAGAGGAGCGGTAGGTAAGTTGATGGTAGGAGTGCTTTGAAACTAAATGGTAAGCAACCCTAGATTAAATATTGAGTTAGCCTTTAATTTTTACTACCAACTTACCACCCTTTCTCAAGTCGGAATATAGACGTCTGTCAATCAATCTCGCCAACCAAGCACAATATCTGACAACACAAATATCTGACAACACACTCCCTCCCCCATATTAAAAATGGAGGCACTGCTCTTGTTTACACTTCTAATGGTAAACTTTGGGGGTTGTGAGGGTCAGAACTGCTTGTTCTCCAGCAGAGAGCAACTGGAAGGCGGCAAAACCAAAGCATTAAATCTCGCAGAAATGCAGTGGGGCCCCCTTCTCTGTGAAAGGCCTTGGGTTATTTAGTTTAACATTTTCTCATGGCACCCTGAGTGCTACAATTTGGGAATTGCCAGTCTCTCACTTGTGGCTATCTTTCATTGCACTTAGGCTCTGTCCGTGTCTCCAAGAACAAGTTATTGAATGTGCTCCGCTACCTGCCGATTTGCACAAAAACGATGGCACACGTCTCGCTAAATATCAGGGACCTTTTCACTCATTGCATTTATTTGCATGTAGATTTTGGATAGTAATAGAATTCCACAGAGCTGCAAGAGTTCATTGATCTGCCGAATATCTCCAGGCCATTATGTGTTTATATCTATCTCTGTATCCATCACAGAGAGAGGGAGGGAGGGGGGAAGAGAGCGAACAATCTGGGGCAGGTTGTCTGCTTAGCATACATTTATCACTTATTTTGCACATGGGCATGTTGAAGCACTACTTATCACCGTTTACGATTCAATCAGATAACCTACCCTAATTTTTTATGAATATGCACAGCAAGGCAAAAAAGGAAGCGGGATGAGTCCCTCAGGATCCCATCATGGACAAGGAGAGTCCCCAGCCAACCAGCCTCAGGATGCCACCGCTCAGAACTGCATAACAAATTCATTTTCTGCCTCTGCAGTTGAGAGAGTCTTTCATGAGAGGATGTCCCTTATTTATATCATATAATATGCTTAATAAATTATAGATGATGCTGTGCCTAAGTGATTGAAACCACACACATCCAAATTAATTTTTTTTGGAGTGGGGAGGGGGAAATCTCAGCACCCATACAACACCTGAATTATTTCATGAAATCACAACCACGAACCAATTTGAGTGAGATGGTACACAGGCTTGGATCTAAAATCTATTTGACTGGGATTTTACCTATGGCAACCCTCATAGGTAGATCCCTTCACACCCGTCTCGTACCACCCCAAAACCTGCTCTGAAGGGTGAGGAGACACTCTGGGAAGAGATGATCCAATGAAGAATAACACTGTGTGTATAAACGAAGAGAGAATCTGATATAACAATAGTTCTAGTTATCAGGAGTGTCAACTTGGCCCTGTGACCACGGGTGCCCAGGGCCATGGGTGCCATGCAGCGTGCATGGCCCTGGCACTGAAATTTGTGGGTGCCCAGCCCCTTCATGGGGAATTTTGTGGGTGCTCGGGCACCCAGGGCCCCAGGAAGTTAGCACCTATGCTCATTATGGCATTATATAGCACCCAGCTGCAAACTTAATAGTCATTTTAAGGACTGTGGGCCCAATTGGCTTAAAGTGAAGCACTTCCCAGTCTGCTTGAATTCCATGGGCAAGAGAGGCTTACGCCTATTACAGCTTACTTCTCAGTAGTCAAGTATAGAATTGAACTGTACATTTTTTCTGTACTGACTCAATAGGGCTCAAAAGGGCACAGACTGGATTGTGCCCTCTGGGTGGGAGCATAATTATAAACAAGGAAATGGGCCTGTCTATGAGACATGCATGCCAGAGGCACAAATCCTTTTGCTTTTTTTAAAAAGCACATTGCACTTTTGCAAGGTTGAATATATCCAAGAGTACATCCATTGAACCTTGCCGAATACCTTCTCTGTCCTTCTCCAAAACATTATTTGCTTGTGTGGATCCCTGCCCAGGAGATGTAGGTTGGCTGTTCTACACAGGACAATGAGAAATGTCTGCATGGTAGACCTTAGACCTGATTGGATATTTTCTGAGTATTTCTTCAGCGCTTCCTTCTTAGAACCCAACTTCTTTCTTCTTTTTTTGGTAGCAGAAAAACATGTGAAAGGCTGGCTCTTTTTGGTGTTAATAATAACAAAATATGGTGATACATTTGGTGGGATAGATAAACTAACATGTAAATACTACCCCCCGCCACTATATACAAGAAAGGTGATGAGATACTTGACAGAGATGGAATTCTGTGCATTTTAGTGCCTACCCAGATGGAAGGAGCTTATCCCATTGACTGCAGAGGAGCACAGTATTATTAGAAGATGAATCACATTTGATTCCCAATTGCTTTTGCATTATTATTGGCCTAACAATGTGATCACAGAGAAGCTGCAATTTACTCAGGTCTCAACGCAGAGGTCTAACCACCAGACAGTTAAAGCCACTAATTTTGATCAGGGCTCAAGAAGACCTTCCTGTATTCTGTATAATAAATACCTACACATGAGCCCCATAAGTCTGTCATTATTTATCTGTAGAGCCTCCACTGGGAATATTTGGACATTATGCAATTGCAACCCATCAACACCAAGGTCAATTCAAACAATTGGCCAAGGTGACTTTTTATCGGCTTATCTACTGATAGTCTCCTTTCCATCGCAGGATAGATGCATTAACACGATATGAAAGCACTGTATTTGGTAACTGATGATAAACTGATCTACGTGGTCAAGATAATCCTTCTTCATGAGCAGCAATGGAGGAAAAGGGCATAGGCATTATCTTACCCATAATGCATACTTGGGGGTTCCAGTGGACAACTGTGTCAATTCATTCATTTAAACAACTCTGAGTGCAAATCTCATATCTTTGCATGGTGAAGGATAGCTGTCTGCCCATTTGATTCGCATTTATTGTTTTACTGGGGAATCTGTTCCATTAAATATTTACAGCGAACCATGAGCTGGACTCGGAGAGCCCAAGATTACAATTGTTGCTGGATTACCTTAGGCCAGAACTCACCCTCGGCCTCACATACCTCACAGGGTTGTGGTGAAGATGAAATGAGACAATTTCACGCACATTATCCTGAGTTCCTTGGGGGTAGGGTGAATTCAAATATAGCTAAAATAATAATAAAATTGGTTAGTGCTGATCTTTAAAGCCCTAAACGTCTTCAGCCCTGTATACCTGGAGGAGGGTCTCCACTCCCATCGTTCAACCTGGACACTGAGATCCAGCTCTGAGAGCCTTCTGGCGGTTCCCTCATTGCGAGAAGTGAGGCTACAGGGAACCAGGCAGAGGGCCTTCTTGGTAGTGGCGCCCGCCCTGTGGGACGCCCTCCCGTCAGATGTCAAGGAAATAAACAACTATCTGACTTTTAGAAGAAATCTGAAGGCAGCCCTGTTTAGGGATGTTTTACTGTGCTTAACGTTTTAATTGGTTGGAAGCCGCCCAGAGAGGCTGGGGCAAGCCAGTCAGATGGGCATCATATAAATAATAAATTGTTATTTATTATTATTATAATCATCAGTAAGAGAGCAGGTTTTCTCCTAAAGTCGCCTTTCCGATACAAATGGCACGATTCCTCCCCCAACAGGTGCTTAGAAATTCAGAAGATAATATTTGCATAAACTATCCTGACTCAAGACATGCAAACAAACCGACGCCATGCAAATATCTTTGTGTTTTGCCTCTACTCACAGTAGCCGAGAGTTCTGCCTTTGGATTTCCTTGTAGCCTGCCTGCCTGCCTGCCTTTTGCCTTGGGCTGTTGGCCTACTTGGGAGGCTTCCTTTGTATCTGGCAAAAGCGCTGGTGCGAATGCAATGCAAAGTGTGAGCAGCAAATCTATGCTTCTTCCATGGAGACTAAGCTCATTATCTTGCAGTCTTCTAAAACATGCCTAACCTCACCAATCCAGAGCAGCGCCGGATCCCAAATCTGCCGAAGAGCATGGACACCCCAATTAGCACTTACAATGTACTGTTGACATTTCCCGAGGTTGGCCCAACAGGAATAATTAGTTCTGATATATAACATGAAATCATTTTTTTTTAAAAAAACAAAAAGCAGCAGGAATGTTTGGGTGAAAGCCAAGACTGGTCGCACACCTGCTAATACGGTACCTTATTCTGCTCTCGTATTGGCTCGTCCTAGGCATAATATTGCTGATGACCTCGAGATTTGTGTCGTAGGACTGAGAAGAGGAAAGGTTATGTTAGGGTAAAATCCGGGGATTCAGGGTGGTTGGGCATCATTCCTGGGAGAGAGGATCGTAAGATTGCTTCAGCCTTTAGGACACGCTGCACATCTAGGCAGGATGAGAGAGAGATGAGAAATGGTGCTTCCGTTCTTTAAAGCAGGACTGGCTAAACTGTTGCAGCGTGAGTGCCACATTGCTGGTTCATCCACCTGACAAGGAACACACTTCAGAAGTGCGCCCCCCCCCAGGCAGACCCCACCTATTCTTCTGCCTACCAGAAAAAGAACTGGTTCTTCCGCCCTCACCCACATAGCAGCACTGGGGCAGAAGAAGAGAAAGCTCTACTCTTAGCCCTTCATGGCTGGGGAAAAGGGAAGAACAGCACAATTGTGTTGGTCCCAAGAGGAATACTGGGCTAGGTGGCCAGGAGCAGTAGTATTTCCCCCTTCCTATGATGAAGAGGGTGGTGCTGTGGGTTAAACCACAGAGCCTAGGACTTGCAGATCAGAAGGTTGGCGGTTCGAATCCCCGCGCCGGGGTGAGCTCCCGTTGCTCGGTCCCTGCTCCTGCCAACCTAGCAGTTCGAAAGCACGTCAAAGTGCAAGTAGATAAATAGGTACCGCTCCGGCGGGAAGGTAAACAGCGTTTCCGTGTGCTGCTCTGGTTCACCAGAAGCGGCTTAGTCATGCTGGCCACATGACCCGGAAGCTGTACGCCGGCTCCCTCGGCCAATAAAGCGAGATGAGCGCTGCAACCCCAGAGTCGGTCACGACTGGACCTAATGGTCAGGGGTCCCTTTACCTTTACCTATGCTGAAGAGGAGAAGAAGAAGAAGAGTTTGGATTTGATATCCCGCTTTATCACTACCCGAAGGAGTCTCAAAGCAGCTAACCATCTCCTTGCCTTTCCTCCCCCACAACAAACACTCTGTGAGGTGAGTGGGGCTGAGAGACTTCACTTGCTGGGCTCCGTTGAAAATGGCTTCTCCATGCAAACCAGGAAGTGACCTCTCCAGACAACAGAACAACTCTTCTTTACTTATCTCTGCAGCTGTGATCTCATGGGTGACACAGATGCCATTAGGCAGTTGAATGTGCGTATGTACTCCATCCATTTCCCTTCCTTGTCGCTTCTGTACAGCCCCGGACACTGGCAACCCACGTTATGCCACTGCCCGAGATGAAGAAGAGAAGTTTGGATTTGATATCCCGCTTTATCACTACCTGAAGGAGTCTCAAAGCGGCTAACATTCTCCTTTCCCTTCCTTCCCCACAACAAACACTCTGTGAGGTAAGTGGGGCTGAGAGACTTCAGAGAAGTGTGACTGGCCCAAGGTCACCCAGCAGCTGCATGTGGAGGAGCGGGAAATCGAACCTGGTTCACCAGATTACGAGTCCACCGCTCTTAACCACTACACCACACTGGCTTTCTTGGCTCTCATGATGGTGCTGGGGAAGAAGAAGAGAAACTTCTCTTCCCCCCTCCACTGGGCAAAAACATCTTCAGGATACCTCTCTCACATTACAGAAGACTCTCTGTGGTGGCTCATTTCACCTCTCCCTCTTCTACCAATCGGTGCCCCTATCATCGGAAAAATAGGAGGTCACTTTACAGGCCGCAGCCTGTCCCCGGCGCTGGGAAAGTCACTTGAGAATGCCAACTGCTGCCTGCCTGCAGTACCTCCTTCTGGCCACCAGTGCTGGTTGCGCCCAAGAGCAGCTGATGAAAACATGAGGCAGTGGCAGCAGCTGTATGAGCTCTGTCTACTGGCAAACCTCTACAGAGGCATTGCTAAAGTGCCAGAGCCCCAGCTTTGAGATTTGCACCATTTTGAAACGCTGCAATCCTATTGCCCCGGAACAAAATGCTTTTCAAGCAACCATAGGGAATCATCTTTGGCACAGAGCCTGTTCCTTCTTGTCTTTTATTGTGCTGCGAATCTGGAATGAGGATGGCAGAGAGAAACTCAAATGATAATTTTCATGTTGCAGAGATCACGTGGAGATTTTCCTTTGTAGTTCACTAAGCTTCCACTCTTCGATGTTTGGAGAATTAAAGCATACAAATAGAAGAGATCTGCCAAAAAAAAACCCCCAAACACACCGTTGTCTGGTATTATTTATGTATTATTATTCTTGTTAGATGAGACACATAAATATGAAGAATTAGATAAGACTGAGGCAGTACAATAAATTATAATGGAGAGATGTAATAAATCTAACATGAGAATAAAAGTATAATGAGAACATGCTTTCTTCCTACATAAATACAAATCCTGTCTGTGTTCTAAAACCCAATTAATTGGAGAGCCGCTACTGGAGAAAATCTTTAAAGGCGCTAAAGAAATCTCTTTCTGCTCAGGGATGACATACACAAATATCTCACAGAAGATCCACTGAATGACCCCTTACATCTTATTTATGCTTATGTGGCATGGGGGTAGACCTCATTCAGAAAAGAATGGCAGCTCCATGAATACACCTGCTTGCAGTGCGATCATGTACATGCCTATTGAGAAGTGAAGCCCCATGAGTTTGGAGGGGCTGACTCTCCCAGGTAAGCATTCATAGGATCTCAGTCCGAAGGTCCCTTGCACCCAGCCACTCATTTGTACGCTGTCCCTGGTTTATAGTTCAACCACACCCCCATGGCAAGGGTACGAGACACAGGGCACCAGCTGGTTCTCCGGTGCGAAACAGATCTGAAACAAACAGTAGCCGCGCAATAGAAATAGGGTACAATATCTTGTGCTTCACCCACTGCAATGAACAGGAGGTGTGCACTACTCCCATTTGTTACAGTAGAGTTTATGCGGAAGTTCCCAGTGGATTGTGCCCTTTATAGTTTCTCACCAATAGAAGATTTTGTTGCTTTCTTGGCTAGAGAACAATGCAGAAACGAACCATAAATTAAGGCTGGCATATGTCCCGACATATTTGGGATTTGTCCGTCGGAAATCGTGTACTGTATGGGCGCAATTTAATAAAAGCTCAAGAACTGTTGTGTCCAGGTTTCCCCTTTTTTGAAATATGGCAACCCTACATTAATTAATTTTTAAGCTAATTACTAATAATACTATTAACTGTTATTAATTACTGATGTATCTTCTGCAGCAGACATACGTGCAATATTTATGCCGAACCATTCAATAAAAGGAAGTGCCACAAACCCGAGAACCACATCAGGGAAGGTTCCAAGCTTTCTAGTTTAAAGATTCTAAATCACAGGTGAATTTTCTTATATTAAAGCATAGAATTATAGAGTTGGAAGGGACTACCAGGGCCACCCAGCCCAGCCCCTTGCAATGCAGTAATATTTTCTGCCCAACAGTGCCAGATTTATGTACAGTGGTACCTCGGGTTACATGCGCTTCAGGTTACAGACTCCGCTAACCCAGAAATATTACCTCGGGTTAAGAACTTTGCTTCAGGATGAGAACAGAAATCGTGCTCCGGTGGCGTGGCAGCAGCAGGAGGTCCCATTAGATAAAGTGGTGCTTCAGGTTAAGAACAGTTTCAGGTTAAGTACGGACCTCCGGAACGAATTACCGTATTTTTTGCTCTATAAGACGCACCAGACCACAAGACGCACCTAGTTTTTGGAGGAGGAAAACAAGAAAAAAAATAAATTCTGAATCTCAGAAGCCAGAACAGCAAGAGGGATCTCTGTGCAGTGAAAGCAGCAATCCCTCTTGCTGTTCTGGCTTCTGGGATAGCTGCGCAGCCTGCATTCGCTCCATAAGACGCACACACATTTCCCCTTACTTTTTAGGAGGGAAAAAGTGAGTCTTATAGAGCAAAAAATACGGTAAGTACTTAACCCGAGGTACCACTGTATAGGCTAAGTAGGCTGAAGCCTAGGGCCTCTAAATCTAGGGGGCCTCGCCAGCCCTCCCGCTCCCCAGCTGGCAGTCTCCCCATTCCCAAAGTTGAAACCTAAGGGCAGGGCAACTCAGGCCTCTAAATCTAGGGGGCCTCCCCAGCCTGCCCTCTCCCCAGTGCTGCAGCCTCCCCTCTCCCAAAATTGTAAACCCAAGACTTCATGCAAGGACAGGGCAACTCAGGCCCAGCAACTATGAGACTCGGGTGGGGCCCAATTCGAAGCAGTGGGGCGCAACTTGAATTTTCTTTTGTAGGGCCCCAGTTCACAGCCAAAGTCTGCAAAATCTTATAGATATAAATAAAATCCATCTAGATTGCCCTGGTGTGGGGGCCCCCTTAGGAGCGGCCCATGGGGCCCAATTTGGCCCAGTTGCTCCAATTGCCTTAAGGTCAGCCCTGATGAGACTGTGCAGGGGTTGGACTGACAAGCCCTGCACCTTCTAGGTTGCTGGTGTCACTATTCAGAGTACAGACTCAAGGACTTGTTTTCTAAATCCGGCCCTGATGCCCGATGTAGAGCTCAAACCCACGACCCTAAGATCAAGAGGAGTCTCATGCTCTGCCGACTGATCAATCTGTAAGCAGCAAACTTGAGAAGAGGGTTGATCATGGATCAATGAATCTCTTACCCCAGTATGGTTTCCCATGCTTGTACTAGCCTAATAGTGATCCCCATATAGCATACTTGTCCTGTGCACTCTCTTTTTATTACATCCTTTCTGCATGTTAATAAAAACAAGAGTGAATCCAAGCTTATAGTGTATTCCCAAATTCCTTCCACAGGCATCCTTTTTTGTTTGCTTGTTCCAGTATCCATAGTTATTTCTTGGTACTTGAATATCCTAACATTTATTAGGGTGTCTTACATAAAC